CGCCAACTAGATAGGCATGTGCCTTGCCACGTTACGTTCGTGCACGGATTACATCGGCATGTCCGGTAATAAATCTGTGAATGAAAAGTATGTAGTGTATTTAGTTAGACGTGGTACATCCGCGTATGTGGAAAATTAACGTAAACATGATTTCATTTTAAGTTATACTTTTACTATTACCGTAGCTTTAGTGACTAACAGGATGAATCGTCATGCCTTTTAATAATAAACTATGTTATGTATATTAAATATTTATCTTTCATCATTTGATAATAATTTATATTTAGTCACAAACAGTAATCAAGATCATTTTTCCAAGAAAAAATTAAGTAATAAGAATGATGAGTATAACAAATAACAATAATGATTTATAATATTATATTTTAAGGCTTAATATACACCTAGAATTACACACACACACACCACCACACACCACAATTTATAAAAGAGCTTTATTAAGTGGCGGGTGCAAGGAAGCCTGGTCTCCCACCATCTCCCCCTCCCCCTCGCTCCCCTCCCCCACTCCGGTAGTTTTTTCTTATTATTTACAAATATTGAGAATAAAATGAAAATTACATTAAAATTTAAGTGTGAGAGTGCCATTTCCGGCCATCTAGAGGTGCCATAATTAGGCTAACAATGTTCTTACCTCAGTCCCAACCATGGTGGGACTGAGGTACGTGTTATAGACTCCATCTGCGAAGGTCCCTCTCTGGGCCCCTCTATTTCGAATTCCTGGGTCAGCCACTGTTATGAAATGTGAAAAGTGGTGTAAAATGCAACAATACGTATTATAAGGATATACTCATTGCATCATTATTTAATGTTTACCAATTTGTAATAATAACAAAAACAGTATTTGGACACTCACATTATTCACTGTCTTTACTCTTTACCATTCGTAACTAGATGAAGTAACGTAATTCAATCATACAGGATATCACCATTGTGAAAGTAAACAATAACATTTTTTACAGTGTATATGGAAACAGTAGCTTTATAAATATATAACGTTGTGTAATGGCATAACTATTTAAAAGAAAAACATACATAAAATGTTATTCGTTGTGCATATAATTATCAAGCTTAAATCATCTATATAAAAGCAATGTTTACAGTAAAATGAGAGAATGCTAAACGCTGTAAATGTAATGGCATTACAATCTGACAATGAAAGCACACTCGAACTCGGGACCTTTCGCGTACATGGTGAACGTGATAGTCACTTGACTACGAAGGCATTGTGTTGATCCAAGTGCCTGTAAAATATGAGTTTCGTACATTAGTTTTACGTATGCCTGTATGTACATAATAAGCATTGCTTGTACCATAACAACTCCTTGGTTGTACACATGTCTTGATGATAGTACGACTATGCTATGCGAAAGTTCCAGGGTTCGAGTCTCGATGAATGATTTACGTTTCAGTTTTGAACAGATTATTCTTTTATTTCGTTTCATATGTATTGTATCTCTATATATTATATTAAGCATCTAAATGGCCAGTTACTCAAAGTTTAAACGGAGGCTAAATTTCAAGAAGAGAGAATCCACCAAATCCGACAGAAACTGCGTCGAAAGGCGTGAGTGCTGACTTAAGCCGGCCTAATGCGTCGGATCTATAACTTCCTTAGACTCGACTGAAAAAATAACGTCATGCTGCATGAGTCAGACATACCGTCCTCGCGCAAATAAGCGCCCGGGGGCTTAAAATATTTTCTTCATTTTCTGCAGCTGAGGGGCGCTTATTCATACGGAACGCTTATGAAAAAAGACTGAAAATTGAGGGGGCACTTATGGAATATGAAAATTTAAGGGGTTCTTCTGGGAACTTGGACAATTCAATGAGCTCTTTCTGAATGAAAAAATCTTATTTAAGGACATTTGGAAACCGAAGATTACTAATGTAAGAGAGCTCTCATCAGTCCAGGAGAAAATATCCTGCAGTTTTTAAATTTTCATAAGAAGAAAATGTTAATCCACTCCGCAGCTCAAATCATGCCAACCACAGTCTCAGGATTAGTTGGATTATCGTTTGCTAAAAAAATAAATCACAAGATATTGTCTTAAAAATATGAACAAACACTGAGGGGCGCTTATTCAAACGGGCGCTTAAGATAATTAAATTTTCACGTTAGCAGAGGCGCTTATTCAAGAGGGGCACTTATTCAAACGGGGCGCTTATTCGCGCGAGTACGGTACTTATGTCTATCACGCATTGTTGTTTGGCGCAGTGGAGATGGTTTGGTTTCCCAAACTGGAGGTAGGGGTTTCAATAATTTGCTGTGAATTTCCCTTGTGCCTTAAGCAAGGCACTTTATCTACATTGCTTCAGACTATATATATATATATATATATATATATAGATTAAAAGGCAAAATACTGGAAAACAACAATGCTGTGGGAAACAATGGCTGGATCTCAGTAGAGATACAAAAATGATAAGCAGCAGCTAAAAAGTAAACGTAAGTAAACAGCCAGAAATAGAACCAGAGCTTTCGGACAACACTAGTCCTGTCTCTTATACACATCTAGATGTGTATAAGAGACAGGTATATTTATATATGCCACAGAGAGTAGGAAGTGGACTCGGGTCTACTTCAGAATGAAAATACTCCACAATTGAAGTGTACGTCTATAACACACATGGAAGGCCTGTGTTAAGGAGTAGGCCTATATTAATGCGGCAAAGATGGTTGAAGATTTATTTATTTATTTTTTTGTTTTTAATGATAAACAGAAACAATCAGTGATTTTAAGACTAAAATATGTGTTTATTAAACCTCAAGCTTTCATAGTAAATTATGCACAATGTAGAAAACTATCCTTACCAGAAAAATTAAAAAAAATCATATGAGAAAAATAGAGTAAGATTACATTAATTCGTTCGTTAAAATATCTAACCAAAGGTTGCTCATAGTGATGTTGTCTCTTTGCCAAACGCATAAAAAAATTAAACATACTTCATAGTTATTTTATGTAACAAAACTATAGTGCCTAAACTCTGTCCAAACTTTTAAAAAACTGTTGTATGCCCATTTATAGTCATGATGTGCCTATATATGGCCATGATGTGATGTCATCATGACCATATTTAGGCATGATATATGTTTTTGTCAAATAAAATTTGACAGTACAGGGCTTTCTCTACTGCATTGTACCATTTCACACTGAAGAAATCCAAACCAAATTCACTACCGGTACCAACCAAGCCAACGATAGAAGCTTAGAGAATGGTGAGCGAGAGTTTGTGAGAAAATGCCTGATATTTTGTATAGGGATTGAACCAGTGCCTTGAGGTTGGATTATGACATGTTATAATAGTCATAGAGCCATATACCCTCCCTGAATGTTCATAGTTGTGTATCAAAGGCCTACTACTGTATACGGTACCATTGTTACTGGGTCTCTCCAAACAAGGAAGTAAGTTCATTATACTACTATATATGGTCGAATATCCACCTCAGTATAGGCCTAAGCATGGCCTAAGTACCGCTCTCGGAAATGTGCAAAAATGTAATTTGACATAAGGCTTATGTTCGAAAGCGCCTTTCTCAGATTTTGAGAAAAGGTGCAACAAGTCTATGGCGTTTATGGTGCATAAAATAGTGTTTATTTAATTTGTGGTTATTTCATTACGGTACACATCAACTAAGTTTTATATTATTACATTCTTTACAATTTTCGCCGATGCCTATTACTATTCTATCGAGTCTTGATTAATAATATTGTGATACACTATACTAAAATGATTCCACACCGATAGATAAAGTAAATGAGTTAAAATGACAGTATGCTATTATCATCAAAATATCTGATTACAGTTAAACATCGATCACATTCGTTATTAACGATACAATTTAAAATCACGTACTTTTAAAAAGTTATTTGTTTTTTCCGTATGCATAGAGTATATAATATGTATATTAGATACATAAATATCATAGATATTACTGATATGGTCTTATAAAGACCAAAGTGATATAAAAACTATTGCTCCGATGGAGTAATGACATCACAAATAGCTTTATAGCAATTATTTACTTAAAATGTATTCTTCATTTCTACAGACTATATATGGATCCATGCTGTAATAAGAAAGCAATGACAGTAGTATGCCGATCTACAGAAGCGTAAACATGAGAATCGATGAACACTCTACTAACACTGGGTCCACACTATCAAATTTTATGTGAGAAATTTGTGAGATGTATGGTACCAATACATTAGGCATGATGGTGTTAAAATACACCCAATCACGGGATATCACAATTATTTGTCACATACAACCTGCTAGTGTGGACGATGCCACTATTATACCCAAATATATTGGCGTAACAAACGCATTTGTCACATTAAATTTGATAGAAAGAACAAAGATAAACGGTTGTATTCGTGTATAACATGTCGTTTTGTGGGGCCTTAGCAACTATACCCTTGCAAGAGGCTGGGCTTAGCGGCAATGTGTGCGTAGTTTAAGTTGTTCAGTTGCACAAAAACGCTACGCGAACACTCTCGTTCTCAATGCGATAATGATATCGATGATTGATTTGGGTGCCGTTTCTCCACATCACTTGCATTGGTATAGAGAACGGTTGGCACAACTGGTTGGTTTCAGCACCACTGGTGACGTCTCGGCAGAAACGGTATTTTTTTTCAGCCCTCCAGATATTGGCCGGAATTCGACTTTGATTGAAATCCAGTTTCATCTCAAACGGGCAGGCACCATTTGCTTCCGAACCTGAACAGATCAGAGGTGGAGAATTATGGTAATGGATAGATGACTCTTTGTAAGAGGATGAACTTTCCATCAAAAATGCTATGGGACGTACGTTTGTAAAATAATAATGTTTAAATTGAAGTGTACTTAACGGTTTTCATTTAATAATCAAAGAACGTCCCTCTCTCTGCCCTTGTCCAGATTTAATGTAGATTTTAATCACATATAAATAAAACCACATAACGTTTTGAATTAATACATAATAAGTCATTAAAACATTTGCATACAAAGTGAAATTTAGATGGAAACGAGGATCAAGAAAAACCACAATCAACAAGCTACTAATGAAATTAATGTTTTTATCGTTATTTTTCATTTAAAACATATTTATCTAGGATATATTTCAGGTAGGTTTTATCACATGTCCTGCACAGTACAATAACTTCATTTAATATATCTGTGATTTAATTAAATTTGTGTTTTGTTTTCGTGTTCAGATGGATAAACCAGGAATAGGTGTATCTGAAACAACTATTATAAAGACATTGGAAACAACTTTAGTCTCAAATCTGGAATGGGACTGCTGTGCCTCTTTCATGATCCCAAATTCCGGCAGATCTGGTTAAATGAGATTTCTTAACATATTTAATTTCAATTTTGCTGAGCATGAAGATACCCATCGGCACTGACTTCTGAGTTCCGTTGATAATAAAGTAATAAAAACAAGCAATTATTATGAATTTGCAGGAGATTGGCTATTTTCCTGTAGATTCTTGGTTGCTTGCGAGAGTTTGGGAGGCCGTCCCGATTTCCGGGAAACTCCCGCGAATTCCGGGAGACTTGGGAGCCCAGCTCTTTCCTCCATCAGGTCGGAGCATGCCAGGTCTAATCTGCGTTCAATATGTCAGACCACATAAAACCGACTAGTTGTGTTTATATAGTTGTCTATATATTTACTTCATTTTTCCTACATTGCTTGCTAATGTTTATTCGTAAGCTAAATTATTTATAATAAATAAGTAATGTATCAACTTACCGGCAATCCACGAATTAGGAGTGATTGAGTTATCATCGTGGCGAATTATTAACAAATTTCCATTTGGATAAAATTGTGAGGTTGTCGATTCCGATGGAACTAACAGCATAGTAAAGGCCATAAACATGAATGTTCGAAGGCTAATCTGAAATTATAGAAATGTACCGTAAATGAAGATGTATTGTAAGATAAGAAATAATAATAATAATGATAATGGTAATTAAAAAAACATGTGTAATTACGATGATATATTATATTGCTGTACTAACTTTAGTTTTGGTACAGCCATCGTACCTACCCATATTATTTTTGTTTCAGTATATATATACTGTCTCTTATACACATCTCTATACCCTTGCAAGAGGCTGGGCTTAGCGGCAATGTGTGCGTAGTTTAAGTTGTTCAGTTGCACAATATGTTTAATATATATATATATCTATATGTGTATATATATATATATATATATATATATATATATATATATCCTCCCAGTGTCGTTTTAATGAAAATTGTGTAGTTCCTACATAAATCGGGTGGGGAGAAATGTACCGAAATCTGACCTCGGAATTGACCTAGGCCTACATATAGGCCTATGTCCAGTATTATTATTATTATTTGTATTATTATTATTATTATTTATTAATTAATTAATTAATTAATTGTTTGACTGACGTGTTATACTGCATAGAAAAAGAGAATTCGTTTTCGATCAACTTACCGATTTAGTTTTCATGGCGATCATCGTGATAAAGTCTGGCGTTATAATCGTTTGATGCAGTTACCAAGAGGCTGATTCAGTTTTTGGTTCAAGATGTATTGTGAATTTAAGTTTGAGGCACCGAACTTATATAGTTTCTAAAAAATCTATTTCAGGTAACAATCGAGTAAGAACCCCCTACATTTTACTTCTCAGCATTAATTTACTGAGAAATGCAAGTAGTGTAAATACAAATTTTCCATGCAAATGCATTCCAATCAAACGTGTTTGTAGAATCATGCCGTATTAAATGTCAGTGTTACGTAACTCTTACGTATAAGTCTTTGATTTTGAGCATATAGGCGGTAAATTGTGCCTTAGGTCTGCACTCATCCGAACCTTAAAACGCTATGCGGATGTTATAATACCCTGCAATACTGTGTGCAGAATAATTCAAATAAGGTGTAGAGAAATCCCGAAAAATTGATATAAAATTATTCAATATTATGTATTTTATTAAAGTTCTGTTTAGATAAGGCCACATGGGCTTCTCACCAACAATGTATGTATTACAGTCCTACTCAGAAAAGAAGTCGTATCTCCTTACTAAAAAAATACTCTGTACTGGTACTACCTTTTTCAAATAAGGTGCAAGAAATCCCGAAAAAAATAATATAAACTTATTCAATATTATTTATTTTATTAAAGTTCTGTTTAGATAAGGCCACATCGGCTTCTGACCAACAATGTATGTATAGTCCTATTCAGCAACGGAGTCGTATCCCCTTACTAAAGTTAAGCCATAAATGATAAAATCGTAGTAGTAACAACGAGTTTATCGTTTTTTCATGATTATAACGTTAGTTGATTTGATATGTGAAAATATTGTTTAACGTGTACATGATGTATCATTATCGAATCGTCCTAGTGTAAAATCTTCTCTTATTTCTTTTATTTTCTATATGAACATTTGCTGTTTAGCTTTTTATCGTTATCGTTGCAAGTATAAACCGGCCTTAATGCCCTAAAATATAATCGTTAGTTTGGAAATGTAGAGTTAAATTATTCATTAGAACAACACCAATAGCAATTTTATGTTTAAAAAGTTATTGGTCTTGTTCTGATGAATAAGTTAGGTACAAAAATAGGTATAATTCTATTTAAGATATTTTAGGTAAGTATAATTTGTAAGTTGTAACTTTTACTTTAGAAAATTTAAATGGAGAAGCAGTTACGTGTTTCAATTAACGTGAGACATGAAGAAACTTTATTGCATACTTTTGTTCAAAGTTATATATAACATATGGATCAAAGTACTAGATACTTTAAAGCAAAAAGGTAACATAAATTTAATTTAGACCAACGTATGTGTCTTTTTGAAATTTCAAATAGGCCTATAAATAGGACAGGCATTAAAATACTATCTTCTTAATTTTTAGATTTTTTTTTATTTACCGTGCAAAAATTTAAAAAAATATTCTGAATTTTGTAACATTCACAAAAGATTTTAAATTATATTATAATTATTAAAGGTATATTTTTATTAGAAATAACAACTTCGATATTTTTTTTTATAAAATGGGGTTGCTATGAAAATTAAAAACTGATGATTATACTTAAGTGTTATTTGTACCCTGACAATTAATTGGTAATTTATTTATTTATTTTTAAGTTAATTAATTATTGATCACATTGTTTATGTTTTTATAAGTGAGAATTTTTGTATCTAAGAGATGTTATTTATTGTTATAATTTTTATGATTTTGTTGCATTGAGGATATATATATATATATATATATATATATATATATATATACGTAGGCCTATAATGTATATAAAAAAAAACTGAAAATTATGAATATTGATAAATAATCGTGAATATTCATAATTTTTAGTTTCGTGTTTCGACGCTGTTGTTTTCAATACATACTTGTTGTCTTCTTTGATCATGGTCTTTGTTTATACTTTGAATTTGAATTTAATTTCTCCAAATTCTGGGTACTGTTGTATTAATGCAAGGCATTATAATACCACTGTTTGGATGAAGTTTTAAATTGCGAGCGAGCGATGCTGTCATATTTAGACTCTGTCTGTTCTCGTAACGTATTATTCATAGTTTATTGGTAACGGGCGAATCCAATAGGGGCACCCAGTTTTGCCATTACATTTTTTTTAATTCAGTACATACCGTACCAATGCCAATGTATTAAAATTTCAAAAAATAAATAAAATAAAATCTCAAACTATTTTAATAGGGCCTCTGGCACCTATGCCACGGCTGATAAATGCTCATGCTAACTTATTCTGAAGTTGTTTACCCCTGTTTGAACAATTCTAGATCCGCCCCTGTTTACAATAAGATTGTTATAGGCTCATGTAATTATCATTTTATCTCATCATCAGTCTTTTTTTCCCCTTTAAAGCCTATTTGTCAATTCGGTGAAATACGCAATTTCTATCAATTTCCACTACATAAGGTTTCATACGATTGTTCATGAATGATTCGAAGATGGATGCATCTCTATCATTATCATCACCATTATCAAAATTATCAAAAATTCATGATAGCATAACATTGTTATTGTTATCATTATTCATTTATTACTCTACTGCGATAATATAATTTGGACTGTTTAATGTAAACTGAATATTACTGATAGTACAAAACGACTTTTTCTCTTGACTAATAATGTTTTAAACCCGTTTTAAAGCAAAAATATTTTTCTGTGTCAGTAAGTCACTCACATTTCATTGCTACATATTTTACCCATTGAATCGTGGGAATTTGCCGTTAAGTGAAAATGAAATTTATCAAATTTGACTAAACACATACAAGCATAAAAGCATGCATATTTGCATTATGAATTGTCGAGTTAAATTTTCTCAATGTTACATTTCATATTCTCGTGTTGAGAAGCATCTTAGCAAACATGAAAAAAGTTCTTATAGCGTTCGTGAACGTTGTGGTCAGTATGTAGACTTAACGTAACTAAAATGGATTTGTCAGTAGACGTTCCTCTTTATATATTATATGTGACAAGCAATGAGCCATCAATTAATATTTTTCACCAAGCTCTTCATTCATATTTATCCCAAGTTAAACTATAGTCACTTGATCATTCACCTGCTCTGGAATTGAATCTTATTGAATTTTCTTATAATGTTCTTTGTATATAATAGTAACTGTCTGAATATTTTTGTACTTTTTGTAATATTTTTGAATGTTTCTATTGTGATTGTATCGATTTTTCGCTGATTTTATATTGTATTTATTGTATGCTCCCTGATATTAGCGTTTTCGCTGTTGGAGGTGAAATGCAATAAAATAAAAATAGAATAAATAACATAAATGTCACAAAATAACGTTCACACGACGTTGCAGGAACGTAGACACGTGTGTTCATCAGTGGTAGGCCTTATACAAATTAATGGTGTGAATTCCAAGAAGTGTTATCAAAAAATATGTTTATCCTATAGCATTTATATATCACTGACAAAATGTGATCTGATTTGATAATATACACAAAAATATTAAAAATAAATCAATATTTAAAATTCTATATTACCAAGTAGCAAAGTAAAATACATTAAAAACTATTTGAAAAGAACATAATAGTAAATTTGGTTAAAAAAATACTGCTTAGACAAAAAAAAAATGAGGGAATACCAAAGCGACTATCAGATTGGCTTTGAGCGGCATCCGAATTTTAATAGGGGAGAGTTCTTAGTTTGAACCCTACAATGGGGTCAATATGTATTTCTAAAAAAAAATGTCTTTATGCAGTAATTATATTGTTGTATTACCGTACTAACATAAATGCATCTTTCTTATTAATAATAATGAATGGTGTTATATTGACGTGGATATTGTTTTCATTTGTGGCGGAATGGAGCAGGGGGTCCGTCACAATTGTTAATAATTGCTAATAGTGTAAATAAGAAAACAGAAGCATCATATTGTATAAGTTACAGTGTGTTTGTTACGTAATAAGAAAATTTGCAATAAAAAATTATATTTCCGTGATAGTTAAGTAAAAATAATTAGTTAAATTTGACGACCTCGTGACTTGACACCACAGATCACATGACAATTCGGGGAAACCCTAAGCATAATTATGTGCATGAACAACTGACAAGAGTGTCGCTTGAATGGGCCTTTTCATTTCTTTGTTGTTCTGAATGAAGTCGTTTAAGGAACAAGCATTGTTACTCTGAGTGAACTTTTGCACATTTCGGGATTTCCGGAAAAACTAGTTCTCCATCGGTGTGGCAAACACATGGTTACCGAAGATTTTAACATGCATGCGACATCTTTTTGAGAATTTTATGGAGACACATCTATGGGAGAAATTAAAGAAATTGTATCGGGTAATACCAGTTTCTACCTACAGACATGAGACTGAATTCAGTTTCTTTATGTATAATATAATTTCAGTATAACATAAGAGATTAACAAATAAAGAAATTCATTAAGTTAAAGTTTAATTCTATTACTTTCTTGGGTCATTCTTTTTTCATGTTTATGTTAAGCGTACAGAGGTCTCTATAATATGCGCTTTATAAGTCGACCAATATTATTATTATTATTATTATTATTATTATTATTATTATTATTATTATTATTATTATTATTATAAAGACGGTATAAAATATCACCCACATAATGCATACAATAG